CTTCTAACCGGTTCGGTAGATTTGACGAACCGGTTCTACCGAATAGGTGCGAACTGGTAGGAACCCACCTCTGGAGTCCCCCTACCCCACCCCCTGCTCCGCTTAGCTCCTGTTCATTGAACGAAAGGCAGAAGTCAGCTATGCTGGCTGGGGAACTCTGGGAGATGGAGCCCAGCCATCTTCAAGTTGCCAACTTTGAGAAACAGTGAGTTAGAATGAAATACAAATGTTTTGCTGATATGCAATGGCAGGTTTTGCACAGAAATCTACCTGTGGCTATGTTGACCGCCTCACTGGAAGAGCCGAGGCTGAATGGCTGTGCCTACCAGGAAACATCTGCCCCTTGAGTTTAGGTCCCTGTCCAGAGTTCCCACCCACAATCCTCTGAAGAGCTGGCTCTGAAAAGCTGGCCACAAACCTTGCCATTCTGCCAACAATGGAGTGACAGCAGCGCTCCTACAACCTCACTTCCCTTTTTCTGCAGGAAATCTCTCCCCTTACTCTGCACGAAAAGAATCGGTGGAAGTTAGAGGGGGCTGCATCAGGACAGGAAGTCCTTTCCTTTAGTGACTGTTTGAAGTGACAGTCGTGATGGAAAAAAAGGGACTTATGACCTGTCCTCAGGCTTACAACTTCGCAGCATCCCTGTGGGTCTATGACAACTCGCCACAGCCAATTCACCCTGGCCAACCTGCCACGGGATCACTCACTGCAGGACAAGAGTCGCACTAATGTTAAACAAACAGTGGAATAGAATCATTAAAGCAGTGTTTCTCAACCTTGGCCACTTGAAGATGTCTGGACTTCAACTCCCAGAATTCCCCAGCCAGTGAAATCCAGACATCTTCAAGTGGCCAAGGTTGAGAAACACTGCATTAAAGGAAGGATGCAAAAGGAGGGATAGAGTGAAGTGTGAAATTGTTTTGTAATTTATTTTAAATAATTAAATAGAATTGTTAAATTGTCCCAAGGTGAGTTGGCCAAGGTGAGTTGGCTGTGGCAAGTTGTCCCATTCCAAATCCCTCTAGTCCAGTGTTTCTCAACCTTGGGAACTTGAAGATGTCCGGACTTCAACTCCCAGAATTCCCCAGCCAGCATTCGCTGGCTGGGGAATTCTGGGAGTTGAAGTCCGGACATCTTCAAGTTGCCAAGGTTGAGAAACACTGCTCTAGTCACCTGATCAAAATTTGGCACTTGGCAAACAGCATGAGTTTATATAGTTGCAGCATCCCAGGGTCGCCATTTGTCACTGAAGGGAGATAGTCACAGGAATCAATGGAACCTTTGCTATTTGCTTCTGTTAAGAATGGATTTTTGCTATTTTACTTCTGTAAGGGATTGGAAAACAAATAAGAAAGATAGAACCAAGAGCAACCCAGGAACATTCTGCTCCATAGATAACCAGGAAGGCGGGGGGGGGGGCAGGCAAGGAGCTGCCCAAGAATGCCCATCAAATAGATAAGGAGAGCAGGGATACATAAAGCTACAAGGGATGCTCTACAGACATTCTTTGGAGATAAGAAGGACACGGACAAGACATTGCCCACATTGAGTAACAAACATTGTCTCTGACTGGCTACATGAGTGCATACGTTCTTAACCACACTCTCCCCAGGTGTGGCTTTTTCCTTGCATGCCTGTATGCTGTGAACTTGCCCACCCAGCTCTTTTGCT